TTAATTCCTCGAGATGATCTTGGGAGGTTGCCACTGTCATTACCCACATTTAACAGGTGAAAGTGGTGGGGTTCAGGAGTCCCAGCCCCCATGCTCCCCTGAATACATCTTTCTATTATGCATTATGATAATTACCTATGCCCGTGTCTGCTCTTCCTCCTAGGCCACATGAACCTGGAAATGAGGGACAAATGGGAGTCCCCACTGTCGCCCTGGTGGATAACAAGGGCCGGGCCCAGGGAAACTGACTCTGTCAGTTCATCTGCAGAGGAAAAGCCCCACATCAGAGAATCAGCAAGAGGCTCCAGCAGGGACTGCCCTGCCCCGACTCCCAGCCCCTGTTCTCTCCCCTCGGCAGGAAACCATGATGTCTTTCCTTTCACTTCCTTAAACTTCTCTTGGGCCCGCCACTTCTTCATCGGATGGAAATTGGGAGTTCCATCTGTGCAGCCAAATGTGGACCCCAGGGTACCGATGTGGGCTCCAGCAGAAAGAAATGTGACACCACATTTCTGTGATCTGCTAGAGGAAATGGGTGTCTCCCACAAAGCTGCGACACTCTGCAGCCCAGGCTGCTACCCTCTCTAGGCCCTCGGGCACTGGGCAACAACATGGAAACGTAATCAGCACAAGAAACACCTCCACAACTTTTAAAATCAGATTCACTGAAGTCTAACTTACACAAATTCACCCATTTTAAGTGCACATAAGTTTTGACAAAAGTATACAATCTTGTAACTAACACCACGGTCAAGATACAGAATATTTTTATCCTCCCAAAAAGTTCTCTTCTGCATCCCAAAAGTTCCTGGCTTCAGGCAACCACTGATCTGCATCCTGCCACTGTGGTTTGGCTCTTTCCAGAACGTCATAAAATGGAAGTATATAGTCTTTGGGGTCTGCTCACCATATGCTTTCAAAATTCAGCTTTGTTCCCGCATCTATGATTCGGTTGTTGCTTTTTTATTATTGCTGAGTAGTAGACCATTGTATAAATATACCGCAATTTATTTATTCACCTGTTAATGGATATTTGCCTTGTTTCCAGTTTTTATTTTATTTTGAATAAAGCTGCTATGAACTTTCATTCCCCAATCTTTATGTGGAATATGTTTTCATTTCTCTAGGGTAAATATCTAGAATTGGGATGGCTGGGTCATACAGTAGATGTACGTCTAATTTTATAAGACACCACCAAACTGGTTTCCAATGTGGCTGTACCACTTTGCTCTCGCATCAGCAATTTACAAGAGTTCCGGTTGTTCCACATTCTCTCTGACGCTTAGTGTTGTCAGTCTTTTTGAATCTAGCCATGCTCATGTGTGTGAGTGGTTTTAATTGAGGTTTTAATTTGGATTTCCTTTATAACGAATGATGTTAAGCATATTTTCATATGCTTATTTGCCATTCCTTTGTCTTCTTTGGTAAAGAGTCATCAAATCTTTGCCCATTTTTTAAAAATTGAGTTGTTTGTATTCTCAATATTGAGTTTTAAGAGTTCTTTAATCCTATAAATGGTTGACAAATATTTTCCCCAGTCTGAGACCTGCATTTTCATCTTCTTAACAGGATCTTCCAAAAGACAAACGTTTTTTATTTTCATGGAGTCTAATCACATTTTTTCTGTTATAGTTTCTGCTTTTTGTGTTTTATCTAAGAAATCTTTATCTAAGGTAAGGTTACAAACATTTTTTCCTATGCTTACTTCTAGGAATTTTATAGATTAACTTTTATATTATAGTATGATGCATTTGGGGTTAAATTTTGTATATGCTATGAGGTCAGGATCAAAGTTCATTTGTGTCCCCATATGAGTATACAATTGGTTCCACTCCATTTGTTGCAAGACTGGCCTTTCTCCATTGAATTATCGTAGCGCCTTTGTTGAAAATCAATTGAGCATCTATGCATGGGTCTATTTCTGGACTCTTCCTTCTATTCCATTGAGTTATGTGTTTACCCTTACGCCAAATGCACACGACCTTGATCACTGTAGCTTTATGTAGTAAGTCTGGAAGTTAGGTCCGATGAGTCTTCCCCTGCTGTTTTCTCTGTAAAGGTGGCTTTGGCTATTCTAGATTCCTTGCATTTCTATAAAAATTGTAGACTCAGCTTCTGAAAGAAGCTGTAAAGACCCTGCTAGGACTTCGATTGGGATTGCTTTGGATCCATAGATCAGTCTGAGGACAACTGACATCTTAACAAGATTGAGTCATCAAATTCACAAACATAGTATATTGCTCCATTTCTCAAGTCTTTTTTAAAGCATGCATAAGATATACACATAAGCATACATAATCAAATACATTGGTGGTATTATTATTTTGACAAACTGTTATCTACTAGATCAATTAAGAATAAGAAAAATAAAAGTTTTATTTTACTTTCACTTATTCCTTCTTTAATGCTCTTCCACACTGTATGTAAATCCAAGTTACTGCTCTATATTATTTTCCTTCTCTTTAAAGCACTTTTTACTATTTCTTGCAGGGTAGGTCTACTGGCAACAAATTCTTTGAATTTTTCTTTGTCTGAGAAAGACTTCCATTTCTCCTTCACTTTTAAAGGGTAATTTTACAGGATACAGAATTCTAGGTTGGTGGGTTTTTTCCTCTCAATACTTTAAGTATTTCACTCCACTCTCTTCTTGCTTTCATGATTCCTGAGAAGTCAGATGTAACTCTTCATCTCTGTTCCTCTATAGGTAAGATTTTTTGCCTCTGGGTTCTTTCAGGATTTTTTCATTATCTCTGATTTTCTGTAGTTTGAAAATGATATGCCTATGTGTAGTTTTTTGGTGTTTATCCTGCCTGGTGTTCTCTGAGCTTCCCGGAGCTGTGGTTTGCTGTCTGACATTAATTTGGGGGAAATTCTAGTCATTATTGTTTCAAATATTTTTTCTGTTCCCTTCTATCTTTCTTCTCCTTCACATGTATCTTACACCTTTCGTAGCTGTCCCACAGTCCTTGGATATTGTTCTGTTCTTTCCAGTCTTTGTTCTCTTTGCTTTTTGGTTTTGAGGGATTCTACTGACAGATCCTCTCGCTCAGAGATTCTTTCCCCAGCTGTGTCCAGTCTACTAATAAGCCCATCAAAGGCATTCTTCATTTCTATTACAGTGTTTTTATCTCTAGCATTTCATTTTGGTTCCTTCTTAGGATTTCCATCTCTCTGTTTACATTGCCCATTTGTTCTTTCATGCTGTCTGCTTTATCCATTAGAGTCCTTAGCATATTAATCATAGTTGTTTTAAATTCCTCGTCTGATAATTCCAACATCCCTGCCATGTCTGGTTCTGATGCTTGCTGTCTCTTCAAATTGTGTTTTTTGCCTTTTTGTATGCCTTGTGGTTTTTTCTTGACAGCTGGATGTGATGCACTGGGTCAAAGGAACTCCAGTAAATAGGCCTTTAGTGATGTGGTGGGGGGGGGGGGTGTGGGGAGGGGAAGCGCTCTAGTCCTGTGACTGGGGCTCAGTCTTTTAGTGAGTTTGTGTCTCTGGACTGTGAACTTCACAAGAGTTTCTCAGTATTTTCCTCCCCCTTTGAGTGGAACAGAATGGCTGGAACTGGCTGGATTTGGTTATTTCCCTTCCCACAAGTCAGTTAGACTCTGTAACTCCCTCGAAGGTTAGGCTCTGATTAACTAGTTTCTCCTGAGGGCAGGCCTTGTTAAGAACAACAGAGCATTCTGGCCTATTTCAAAACGCTTCCTTTTCCCCTGCTCCTCCTGGACGCACAGGGCCATTTTTCTCCGATATTGCCTGTGGGAAGTTGGTCAAGCTCCTGGAAGTAAATCTCACAATATTTTGGGGGCCCCCTATGACTGGGCTCCCCTGGAGTTTTCAACTCTCAGACTTTTCCATACTGAATCTCCAGCAATTAGTCAGTCCCAGTTCAGGTTTCCCATGCCAGGCCCTGGTCCCCTTGGTGGTTTCCACTGGCGAGTCTGTGCTCCAGTAAGCCGTGACTCCCCGCATCCACCTGTCCTTTCAGTCTTAGGAGCAGTGGTCTGCCCCATGTCCTCCCCTCCTCTTACGAATCCAAGAAGAGTTGTTGATTTTTCAGTTAGTTCAGGCTTTTCCTTGTTGTTGGAACAGAATGGCGACTTCTAAGCCCCTTTCCCACAGAACTAGAATCCAGAGTCTCCCAAGTCTTTTAAAATTTTTTGCAGCAATAATTTTTCAGTATACTGAAAATATATTCAATATATACAAAATTTGTGTGTATTTTAAAAATTTTCCCCTCGATATTTTATATTTTCCCTAAATGATTTTGTATTTTCAAAGCTATTTTCAATGGCATTTTTAATTTCAATTCTGATGCTTTTGTTGCCCATATATAGAAATACAATTTATTTTTGTACATTGACATTGTGGCCTACAAGCCTGTAAAATCACTTAGTAGTGTAACAGCCTTTTTAAACATTTATTAAGATTCTCTACGGAGATAATTATGTCATCTGTGAATAAAGACAGTTTTACATCTTCTTTCCCAACCCACATGCCTCTTATTTCTTTTTCCTGCCTTATTGCACCAGCTATGACTTCCAGCATGATGTTAAATAGATGGGATGAAAGTGGTCATGCTTTCCTTGTTTCCCAAACAGGGGGAAATCAATCTTTTACCATTGAGTATGAAATGAACTGCAGGATTTTCATAAATGCTCTATCAGCTTGGGGAAATTCTATGTATTCCCAGTCTTCCGAGTGTTTTCATCATGTATTGTTGTATTTTATCAAATTTTTTTCTGTATCTATTGAGATGAATAATTTCTTTCTGTGTTAGTCTGTTACTATGGTGAATTATATTGAGAGGATTTTCAAATAATAAACCAACCTGCTGGTTTATCCCAAACTGGAAATGACACATGTCAATAGGACAGTGGTTAAACAAATTGTGGTTTACACACATACCCTTCTCCTTTATTTTCTTTATCATATCAGCATAGAAAGACAAATATATAGACAAACAGACAAACGATATGGACAAATCACAGGAATGGAATCCCAAATTGCTGATGAGTTTATGAAGAAATTCTCAATCTCGCAGGTAATCAGAGAATTGCACATTAAAATAAGAAAACTCCATGTTTTACCCAGTGATCTCGACAGCCACAGGCTGCTGGTTGCCTCCCTTTCAGTGGGACACAAGAGTTGATGCCATGATAAAACACCAAAATATTATTGACAAAAATGAAACAATTACTATCTAGGGCCTGGCTGGGAGAAGTAACTGGTGTTGCTGCGTTTGAGGGCAATCTGGCAGGTCTGAGTGACAAGAAGCAGCCCCACACCTTGGTACTTATCTGGAAGAAACACTTACACAAGTCCAAGGACAAGGAGAAACATGCAAGGATGTTTATTACTGTGCTCTTTATGATAGCAAAGAGAAAAAAGCAATCTAGTTGTCCCTCTGGATAAATAATTGTGGGATTTGTCTATGATAGAATTCTATGTGGGAGGAGGAGGTAATGGATTTGATTTTAATACAGCAACATGGATAAATCTAAAAAACATATTGAGTAGAAAAAGTAAACAACAAAATGAGGTTTATAGCACAGAGCTATTTACATAAATTAAAACATACTGCATTATATATTTTTAAGAATAGACTTATCTGAATAAACATGTGGAAGGTGGATTGAATTGCTGCATACAAAATATTCTTGAATAGGCTTCTATGGAATAAGGGAACTGGAGTGGGCTTGGGGGAAAAAGGAAATAAAATAAATGAAGGAGAGTTCTTGCACCAAAGAATGAAAATATGTCTTGAGTTGAATGGGGCACGCATGTCTCACAAGAAGAATAAAAAGTTTTCAATTTTAAATGACATTTCAGCCCCTGAAACAGACCAGTGGGGGACAGATTTGGGATCCCAGATGCCTCCGTGGAGCCCTTCCACAGACCAGAAAAAAGCAGCCATGTCCTTGACAAGACCCAAAGCTAAAACTGTCAAACTACACAGTCTGGGTGATCTGTCGCACTGTTCTGGCCCCAGCAGGCGGCTCAGTCCTGTCTCTCCAGACGTGTTATTTTGCTCATGTCAATGATTACATCCCAACATCAAGAAAAATGAAACTCTTACACATTCCAAAGGGGCTTAAAAGTCCAACACCACCTCAAACTCCTCTCACCTTGATCCCTTGGACACACAAGGGAAGCCCCTCTCTCCACACACAAGAGGAAAGGTCCGCCCTGAGTTTCGCCATCCCCTAAAGGAGTACGGGCAGGAGTCATGAGTCCTCTGTTGCTTCTGCTGGGGCTGTTGCAACGAGTTGCCCTACCTGAGTTAAATTGCAATAAAGATAGAAAGTGAGGAAAACATGCTGGTTTCAAATTAGTTTTACAGAGAGAGATGCCAGGTTCTAGTGTGGGTGGGTGAATAGCTGGCATCAACTCTTTCGCGTCCCACGGAGAAGGAAGCAACCAGAAGCCTATGTCTGTCAAGATCCTTGGGAAAAATATGGTAAAGACAGAGAATTTACCTTATCTATCTATCTTTCTATCTGTCTGTCTGTCTATCTATCTACCACTGTGACAAGGCTATGGAAACATCATAGAGCAGATGACTCTGTAATCATTGCCTTTGCTGAAAATGGTGTATTTCTGCGGAAAAAAGAAAGAAAGAAAATGTTATTTATTTAAATACTTCAAATCATAGTAAACTTTTGTTACTCACTTTAAGCATTCAGTCACTTGGCAAACACTGTTACATCTCAAGTAATACCTTGCCTTAAGCAAGCAGCACATTTATAAGTGCTACATTTGGACCAACTATTTAACATGAAGCTCCTAGCACTATATTTATAAGACAATTCATTAGTTTCAAAAAGAATGATGGGCAGTGCATTGCACGGCATTTCCATTGCAATACCATATCCAGTGCAGCTGTGGCCCCGGATGTGTATTCTCGGTGTAAATGTGTTTTCTTCTCTTCCACACACTCACCATAGCATGGATGCACTTGACCTTTGCCGTGGTGAGAATATAACCGGCCCTGCAGAGGACATTCTTGGCCACCCCTTTCCCCAGCATCCCTCACCACCCCCACTGTGTAGCAGGCACGAGGTCTGAGCGAGATTGATCTACCACCCCCATTCCTGACATTGGCCCCAAAGTCCTAAATCACTCAGCATAACCGCCTCCTCTTCACCAGAGTGATGGTCCAATTAGAATAAAACTCAAGACTTTTGATGGATATAAAAAGAGAAGCTCTCTTGCTCTGGATAAAGCAGTGTGTGGATGTGAAGCCTAGAAGAGCGGCAGCCATCTTGAACTCTAAGGCAAGCCAGTCTGGGAATGAGTCGACCTACAACACGGCAGAGCAGAAAGAAAGTCAGAGAAATGGAGCCAGCACCCTGCTCAGACTGTGCCTGAAAGCTGCCCTTTCTACCTTTGGACATTTTAGGTACATAAATCATTATTTGTTTTAGATAGTTCTTTTTTTCCCATTAGTTTGAAACCAAATACATCCTTACCATACTGATCCCAAAGTGCTAAAGATAAGTAGGGGGTGGGGCGGAGGCCATTTATTTCTTGGAAGTCTTCTTCCCCATTTGTGTAGCTGGAATGCCACCTTATCTCCAGGAGCTTTCTTTGCTCATTTGTGGCATAGACCAGCTAATAAGGAGCCACTTTTTCTTTCTAAACCCGCCTTCCTCTACTTCCGGGTTCTCTTCCACACTTGTGACCCAATCTAGATCTAGCCATAACATGGTTGTGGGCACTCTGAGACAACCGCCAAAAGCCTTTGCCCTCTCAACTTTCTCCAACTGACCGTGCTGAGGGAGGGGCTGAGAGCTGCACGTCCTAAACCATGGACCCACGGGAGCAGGAAGAGCCAGATCCTCTTGGACTGAATGGCTTTGACTCACCTGTGTCCGTTTCTCCACTGTCCAGCTTTACGGTCTATGCAGCATGGTTCTCTCCCTAACACTGTTTATTTGTTTTAGATAGTTCACTGTCGTGATCACTGTCCTGGCACAATTTCCCTGTTCTGTGTTCACTCTAAAATATGTGCAATAATAATAATGAATATTTCATGATTAATAATTTTGCTTGCCTTCTTGGAAATTGGATGAGCTTTTGGGGAATGACTTGGTCAGCCTGGGTCTGTTAATAAAAGATGCCCAAAGAAATTTGTGCTGAGGTCTCGTTTTCACACTGTAAGTTTTGCTCTGCAAGGAGAGGCATTCCAATGTCTTTGAAGCTATGGGTGTTTCCCTTAGAATTACGATGATGGAGGTGGCATCTCTCCCACTGGAGCCACTAGTAAAGGACTTACCCAGCATTTCATCCTTTAGCCTTTCCGACCTCCTTCCTCAGGTCAGCTGCTCAGATTCAGCAGGAACGTAAGCTAATGGGAAACAACACAGTCTTTTCCAAAGGCTTCTCTTCCTTCCTCTGTCAGTGGGCTGACTTGACATTTTGTTGGCAGCCTTCAGAGCACTTCACAATTCTCTGGAAAACGTTGAAAGCAATTTATAGGTTCTCAGCACATACAATAAAAAGCTTTTCAAGACAATCTCTCTTAAAATTGCCAACAATATCTAGACTAGGTGAGACACTGTTTTTTCTCTGTTGGTTGCCCCTGGGAGATATTACCAAATAATTATAAAGACCAGAGGGATTGAGGTAGCAGTTCAGTGACCAAAAATCATTCATATTCTGTGACAGGCTTGTCATTGCACAAAAAATATGTCCCAGAAATGACAATACACTGGCATTGTATTACTTCTCTCAATCTGATTTTCTATCTAGAAATTCAAAAATTCTTGGTCAGAGCAGGTGTTGTGAATATCTGCGGTTTTTGCCTCCCGCGATCCATTTGCCACTGTGCTGGTAACTACCCTGTCTCCCTGTGAGGAACCACTCCCTCCCACACTCAGTCCAGGGGCTGGAGGTGGTTCAGCTCATGCCCAGCTCCAGGGGTGAACATATAACTTGAGTCTAAGCCAATCAGCACACTGCATTTCCCTGGCCACAGCAATTGGTTTAGGAATGGTCACATGACCCAACCAGACCCAATCAGATGCTGCTGGGGCTTTTGAGAGAGAGACACTGACTTCACTTCTGGATTTGATTTAAACTGTAAGGAGGAAAGAGTTTGAGACTTGTTGCCACCATCATGTTACCACATGAACCAAAGACTGTAGCCAAGACAAAAAGAGGCAGAGCTGAGACTGGAGAGAAACTGAGTTCTGATATAACGCTGTTTGATTCCTGAAATCCAGCTGTGCTGGAGCCCACTCTAACTCTGGATGGTTCAGTTAAATGAGCCAAAAATTTGTTTTTCTTTTTTCTGCTTAAGCAGGTTTGGATTGGGTATTGTTTTACTTCAAAACCAAGCCAAACAGGGGCCAGCCAGGTGGCACAGCGGTTAAGTGTGCACATTCTGCTTCAACGGCCCAGGGTTCACCAGTTCGGATCCCAGGTGTGGACATGGCACCACTTGTCAAGCCATGCTGTGGTAGCCTCCCACATAGAAAGTAGAGGAAGATGGGCACGGATGTTAGCTCAGGGCCAGTCTTCCTCAGCAAAAAGAGGAGAATTGGCAGCAGATGTTAGCTCAGGGCTAATCGCCCAAAAAAACCAAGGCAAACAAAAAACCCTGAGCGCCCCACCTCATATCCTGATTTTAGGTCTGAAAAATACATTTAGTGAAGGTAAAAGTGTAAACTGAGCAATGTGGAAAGAGTCTGTATTTTTACATTTCCTAAAGTAGCTAGCACATTCTGGCCACACTCTACCTTCCAAGATAGTGTGTATGTGCGTGTGTGTGTGTGTGTGTGTGTGTTGGACTAATTGAATTAATGGATACATAAGGAAAGTCAAGAACAATTCCTGCCAAGTCTTAGAAAAATCTCTGGGTTTCAAAGCAGCAGCCCCTGGAATTTGGGATCTCTAGGGTGAAGAGGCAACTGCTGATCAATGTGGAATGAACAGAGGTCACTCAAGCCTGAGCCACAAAAAAATGCCTGTGAGCAAGAAGGCTGTCACTGACCAGACTCTTGGCAAGGCCACCCATCTCCCTGAAACAGGGACAGACCAAACCGAGGGGAAGGCCCCTTCTTCCCACTTCCATATTATAGATGCCCCCCAGGAGCAGGGAACAATCAGATCCAGGGCCTCAAAGCAGTTCCCGCCTCAAAGGGGTGTGAAGGTGTGGCTGAAAGGGGCAGCATGAATTTATGGAAGAAACTCATGCGGAACCTGAGGGCCACGGCAGGAAGAAGGGGGCTTCCTCCTGACACTGACTCCTCAGCAACTCAAAACTCTTTTCAGACAAGGAAGGCCCAGGACTCCAAGAAAGAGGAGTCCTCACGAGACCTGGAAAGGAAGCAAGAACCTAGACGTGAGCAGGAACAGCTTTAGAAAACTAAATTGAGCAAAGTTTTGTTCTCACTCACTGCAGCCTCTGTCCCCCACCAGCACCTTTTTCCGAGAGGTCCAGGGCTCTTCCGTGGCTTTAGTCATAGAAGAGCTGGTCAGAGACTCTTCGTACAAAGGAGTTAGGAATTAGTGTGAGCAAAGGGACACCAAGAATAGAAAACCAAAGAAAAAGAGGGGGGCGGAGAGGGAGGCCAGCCTTCAGTTCAGCTCAAAGGTGAAACTTCTCAGGCATCGACAAGGCGCCTACACATCCCCACACTTCCTTCTCCAAACGTGGAATGGAATTCCACTGCTGGAGTTGTGTTCTTTCAGCTTCTGACTTTAATCTCAATAAATACAGACCTCTTTGGAGAGAAAGTAGCTCTCATGTTAAACTGTTGTCAGTTGTTTGCTCGTCTGTGTGAAAGCTTTGTACTAGAGAAGAAAGTGTGATAACTAGGACCATAAGTACATGATGAGGATGAGGAAACGCGATGACACTGAAAGGGAATTGGTATTTGGGCAAGCGGTGCGCTGGAGTAGGCAGAGCACAGACTTTGGAGTCAGAAAGACCTGGATTCAAATCTGGATTCTATTACCACTGTTATCTTGGGCTGATTACTTCACTTCTTTGACACTCAACTACCTTCTTGTGAAATTGGCATATAAATGCCTGTCTCCATGCCTTTGATCATTGCATCCTCTCTGTCTTGAATTCCCACATATTCCTTGCCATTTGCCTGGCTAACTCCTAATTCAGGCAATACATCACCTGTGTCCCCTCCTGAGGAAGACTGAAATGGGGAGGGGCCCCTTGTCTGGGTCCGACAGCATCCACCTGCAGAGCAGAGGTTGCAGCAGTTGTAACTCCTGCTACTCTGTACTGTGACTTCTCCCTCTGTCTCCACTAAAGAGATGGGGCCCTAAGATCCAGAGCCTACGTCTCATTCACTGGTGCATGCCAGTGCTTAGGAAACTTGCAAAAAAGATCAGAGAGAGGGATCTGAAGGGCTCTCACCCAGGAGAGCTGGAGACTTTGGGCTTGGGTGGGCCAGGGGAGGCTGTTCCTTCCCCACAAAGGGAAAGAATGCAGTCAGGGTGGAGAGAGAGATGGGCAGCCACACCACTTCTCTTCTTCTCAAACCAGCTTCCTAACCGGGAGCAGAAGCCTAAATGGAGACAAGGCAAGAATTATGACACTGTTATTGGACAAAGATGAATTCAGGGTTAAAAGCATTGTGTGGTGGCAGAAGCAGTCACTTCATAATGCTGAAGGCTGCAATCCACTGTGGAGAGGAAGGCTGCCATTTATGGTGGAGATAATGTTGTCATGAGCCGTTAGCAACCAAATAACAAAGCACCAACACTTGTGAAGTAAAACCATAGGAAATACAAAGAGAAACTGACAAAAATATAAAAGGAATAAAAGGTTTTAATACACCTCTTTAGATCCTTGACAGGTCAAGTGTATGAAAATAAGTAAGGATATATAAAGTATGTGAACAATATAATTAAAATTATGTCTTTCTAGGTTTCTATGGTGTATTTACAAAAATTACCTTCTTTTAGGCATAAACTCCAAGAAGCTGTTATAATGCAAATTACATTCTAAGATTGCAATACAATAAAACAAAAAATAAGTAGCAAACATAGAAACGCCAAACCCTTGGAAATTAGGGGAAAAACATCTCTCAGTTAACTATTGGGTCAAAGATAACAGATAATTTACAATTGTCAAATATCTAAAAAATAAAATAATAACATTACAAATTAGAATTGGGATACATTTCAAATTGTGTGCACAGGGAAAGTCGTAACCTCAAACACTTATAATACTAAATTAACAAGAATGAAAATGAATTAAATAAGTATCAACATGCAAAGTTAAAAGGGAAAGACAAAAAGAAGTTCAAGGAAAATATAAACTCAAAAAAACAACGAATTTGTGACCAAAAGATAGTAGAATTAAATATTTTAAGAGAAAATTCTATGAGGAAAAAATTCAATACAACTAATAGTACACCATTAAGTAGTGTAATCAAGAATGAGAGAGAGAAAGCACAAAACTATACAATTAGGAATGAATAAAGGAGAAAATACAAATGCAGAGAAAAATCCAAAGACACATAGGAGAACATTTTGTTCAACTCTGTTTTAGTAACTTTGAAAATATGAATGGAATGTATGATTTTTTAAAAGAAAATATAAATACCAAACTGCCAAATTAAGAGGGAGAAAACCACGACAGAAAATAAGAAATATGTCAAAGAGCTAACCCTCTGAATTTCTCACATCTGCCCCAAATACTACACCCAAAACAATTTTACAAATGAATCCTGGCAAATATTTAAGGAGCAGACAACCCTCATATTAAAAAAAAAAAAAAAATGTCCTAAAGTAGACCCAAAGGAAGGGGACAAAGTCTCTCCCACTAGATGAACGAAGTCACATTTTTGAGAAGAGCATGTAAGATGGGGGATATTGTCGTGTCCATAAACGGAAAATTTGGTCTCACTCTCATACACAATTGTGGACTCCTCTAGCACCTGAGCTGTCATTCAAAGCACTAAAACTTAGAGTCTTGACTGTTATGAGACACAACAAAGGAAGCGTCCCTGATGTTGTCTTGCTATCCTGCTGTATTTACTATCCTATTTCTTTCTTTTTTTTTTTAATTGAGAATATGATAGTTTACAACCTTGTGAAATTTCAGTTGTACATTATTGTTTGTCAGTCATATTGTAGGTGCACCACTTCACCCTTTGTGCCCACCCCTCACCCCTCCTTTCCCCTGGTAGCCACTAATCTGTTTTCTTTGTCCACGGGTTTGTTTATGTTCCACATATGAATGAAGTCATACAGAGATTGTCTTTCAATCTGGCTTATTTCACTTAACATAATACCCTTAAGGTCCATCCATGTTGTTGTGAATGGGATGATTTTATCCTTTTTATGGCTGAGTAGTATTCCATTGTATATATATATACCAGTTCTTCTTTATCCATTCACCAGTCGATAGGCACTTAGGTTGTTTCCATGTCTTGGCTATTGTGAATAATGCTGCAATGAACATAGGGGTGCACGGGTCT